TTGATTCATTGAGTTTACACAATTTCATCATTTTGGAAAATTTAAGTGGCGTTCAGGTTCCTGTGAATATACAAGTATTAACGTTCAGAATTGCAGTTGGTTTGATAGTTTGTAAGTAGTGAAGTGTAACTCTTCTGGTAGCAGACGTTAATGATGAAAAGAATGAAAACGTCTGTGATCTGAAGTGAAGTGTTAGTCGGCAGAAAAGATTCACTAGCATCTGATGCTGATGAGTATAGTTAGGGGTGTGATTTAGATTGGTATTAGTGAGAATAGGATAATTAACGCTGCTGGGGTAGAAGCACTCAAAATAGAGGTAGTGTGTGAGGAGGCTTAAATGTAGTGGCCCTCAGGTTGTGCCTAGGATGCCAGTCATAACTGGCAGGTACGGTGGGTTATGAATTCAGGGCAGGGCCCACTTGTAAGATATTTTTAGGTTATAAGTTCACTAAAGTTTAGTTATTGAAGCAGATAGTATTTGTATTAGGTGGTAGGCTAGTGGGAAGAGTATAGGAAAGATTGTAAGGAACTGATATCAAAAGTAGCTTAGTGGGAAGTATTACCTTATTTCCTGGACAGAGAGAAATGGGTTTTTAAGTTAAGAAATGAAGTGATTAGATTTTAGAAAGTTTTAATTAGTGTACTATCTTTATTATGCAGTCTATACCCATCCTGCAAGAGTGTAGGAAGCAGAGATGAAATTTGTAGGTGATATATCATGGCTCAGTTGGTAGTGGCGTCAGCCGAAGAACCGGGATTCGATCCCGGGCACAAGTGGGCATGTTCCCTTATATCCATTGGCACTGTTCACATAAGAAAGGAGGAACACTGCAGTAGGCCTGTTGGCCCATACTGGGCATACCTGATTGGGCAATTCTGTTAATCTGCCGGATTAATATACTAAGATAGTTTAATGTGATGAGGGTAATGGCAAAGGTCTTGATGTCGGGTGTAAGGAAAGTCTATTAAACCAGGCATATCCATTAAGACATAAAAAGAGCACTGAGGCAGGCCTATTGACCCATGCTAGGCAGGTCTAACTCAACCACTCATTTGCCTAACTTATTTTTAAAACTACACAACCAAAGTTTTGGCTTCACATTACGGTATAAATTTTCTTTAGGCAGTATATATTTTAGCCAGAAAATCAATAACATTTCCTCAGAAACGTTTAATTAACCACAATTTCCTATTTTCAGTAGGGTTGTAGAGGACCTGGCCAAGTAATTTTATGCTCTGAAGTCCCAGAAATATTTTCAGTAGCATAGCCTTGTGCATTTAGCGCTTGCAACTCCAGAGTCTGTATTAGAGCGTCTTGGGGAGGGGGAGAATTTTGAAATTGGGTCATACTGTATACATTTACGGACTTTGTAGGCTGATTGATCTTACCTAGACCCCCCTTGATCTTACCTTCACCTACTTTCATCCCTCCTTGCGCTGCCACTGCTCTGCAAATTAGTAAGCCTTATACCTGAAGTATGCTGCATACTCCAGTTTCTACTAGCAAAATAACTTAGATTTAGGTGTTAAGTAGGATAGTTAAGGTATAAAACTGGAGAATCTGCTATATGGGGAGAGTAATCTCCCCTGAAGGCATAGGGTACGTAGAACTGTTGGCCTTGGAACCCACCAACGACCTTCAGAAGCTGTGTGGAATGTTATTGCACGTGGTTTCCGTGAGGATACTGGTTGGTTCGAGGCTTTGGGTAGTGGTTGCGGTGGGTTACCTGGAGGTTATTCCGGGGATAAACGCCCCCGCGGCCCGGTCCATGACCAGGCCTCCCGGTGGATAAGGGCCTGATCAACCAGGCTGTTACTGAAAGTTAAGACACATGTGCAACATCTGGATATCTTTATTGTAGACGTTTCGCCATCCAGTGGCTTTATCAATACAGATTCTAGGACATAATAGGAAGACAGTAGAACTATATACAAAAGATGAGGTAATCAGTCCCTCGGCCTTTTGTATATAGTTCTTTTGTATATAGTTCTACTGTCTTCCTATTATGTCCTAGAATCTGTATTGATAAAGCCACTGGATGGCGAAACGTCTACAATAAAGATATCCAGATGTTGCACATGTGTCTTAACTTTCATATTGTCGGTATTTTATACCTTTCTTGCACAACTTGTCAGACACTGCAACATCATGGAATCTTGGTTCAGAGGACATCTACAAGACCTTCTTCACGGCTGCTGCAACTAACCCATCTCTTTGGGAAGGACCTACTTCCACTGGGGAATCCCGCCTACCAGTGACTGTCCTCGTCTGCTGCCCGTCCCTTCCACTGACGCCTATATAAACGCCAGTCTTCTTGCCTTTGCTCCAGATTCTCCTCCACCACGATGCTGTGAACACTAACTCCAAGGCCGAGGGACTGATTACCTCATCTTTTGTATATAGTTCTACTGTCTTCCTATTATGTCCTAGAATCTGTATTGATAAAGCCACTGGATGGCGAAACGTCTACAATAAAGATATCCAGGCTGTTACTGTTGGCCGCACGCAGTCCAACATACGAGCCACAGCCCGGCTGATCCGGCACTGACTTGAGGTATCTGTCCAGCTCTCTCTTGAAGGCAGCCAGGGGTTTATTGGTAATTCTCCTAATGCTTGGTGGGAGGCTGTTGAACAGTCTTGGGCCCCGGACACTTATGGTGTACCAATGGCGCCCCTACTTTTAATTGGGGGTATTTTGCATCGCCTGCCCAGTCTTTTACTTTCGTAGGGAGTGATTACTGTGTGCAGATTCGGGACCATTCCTTCCAGGGTTTTCCAAGTGTAGATTATGATATATCTGAAAGTGTAAACATTTATTAGGCCTGAAAGAAAACATTAGGCCAGAAAGAAAACATTTATTAGGCCTGAAAGAGAAAGCATTTATTAGGTCTGAAAGAGAAAACATTAGGCCTGAAAAAGAAAGCACTTATTAGGCCTGAGAGAAAACTTACTAGGCCTGAAAGAGAATATTTATTAGGCCTGAAAAAGAAAGCACTTATTAGGCCTGAGAGAAAACACTTATTATGCCTGAAAGAGAAAACATTTACGTATTAGGTCTGAAAGAGAAAGAATTTATTAGGCCTGAAAAAGAAAGCACTTATTAGGCCTGAGAGAAAACACTTATTAGGCCTGAAAAAGAAAGCACTTATTATGCCTGAAAAAGAAAACACTAGGCCAGAAAGAGAAAACACTTAATAGGCCTGAAAGAAAATTATTAGGCCTGAGAGAAAAAATATTAGGAATAAAAAACATTTTTTAGGCCTGAAAGTGAAAAAAAATATTGGGGCAGAAAGATAAAACATTAGGACTGAAAGATAAAATTATTTGGGCTTAGAAAATATTAGGCTGTACAATAACACAATTCAGGCATAACACGATTGGTAATAATTTGGATTAACTCAAAATAAATCAAGACAGTTTCACAGAATTGTAACTGGAGCGTCCAGGGTGAGAGACCCTGGAGCGTCCAGGGTGAGAGACCCTGGAGCGTCCAGGGTGAGACCCTGGAGCGTCCAGGGTGAGAGACCCTGGAGCGTCCAGGGTGAGAGACCCTGGAGCGTCCAGGGTGAGAGACCCTGGAGCGTCCAGGGTGAGAGACCCTGGAGCGTCCAGGGTGAGAGACCCTGGAGCGTCCAGGGTGAGAGACCCTGGAGCGTCCAGGGTGAGAGACCCTGGAGCGTCCAGGGTGAGAGACCCTGGAGCGTCCAGGGTGAGAGACCCTGGAGCGTCCAGGGTGAGAGACCCTGGAGCGTCCAGGGTGAGAGACCCTGGAGCGTCCAGGGTGAGAGACCCTGGAGCGTCCAGGGTGAGAGACCCTGGAGCGTCCAGGGTGAGAGACCCTGGAGCGTCCAGGGTGAGAGACCCTGGAGCGTCCAGGGTGAGAGACCCTGGAGCGTCCAGGGTGAGAGACCCTGGAGCGTCCAGGGTGAGAGACCCTGGAGCGTCCAGGGTGAGAGACCCTGGAGCGTCCAGGGTGAGAGACCCTGGAGCGGCCAGGGTGAGAGACCCTGGAGCGGCCAGGGTGAGAGACCCTGGAGCGGCCAGGGTGAGAGACCCTGGAGCGGCCAGGGTGAGAGACCCTGGAGCGGCCAGGGTGAGAGACCCTGGAGCGGCCAGGGTGAGAGACCCTGGAGCGGCCAGGGTGAGAGACCCTGGAGCGGCCAGGGTGAGAGACCCTGGAGCGGCCAGGGTGAGAGACCCTGGAGCGGCCAGGGTGAGAGACCCTGGAGCGGCCAGGGTGAGAGACCCTGGAGCGGCCAGGGTGAGAGACCCTGGAGCGGCCAGGGTGAGAGACCCTGGAGCGGCCAGGTGAGAGACCCTGGAGCGGCCAGGGTGAGAGACCCTGGAGCGGCCAGGGTGAGAGACCCTGGAGCGGCCAGGGTGAGAGACCCTGGAGCGGCCAGGGTGAGAGACCCTGGAGCGGCCAGGGTGAGAGACCCTGGAGCGGCCGGGTGAGAGACCCTGGAGCTGCCAGGGTGAGAGACCCTGGAGCGGCCAGGGTGAGAGACCCTGGAGCGGCCAGGGTGAGAGACCCTGGACCGGCCAGGGTGAGAGACCCTGGACCGGTCGGGTGAGAGACCCTGGAGCGACCAGGGTGAGAGACCCTGGAGCTGCCAGGGTGAGAGACCCTGGACCAGTCAGGGTGACACACCCTGGAGGGGCCACAAGGGGCAGCTACCCCAGAAGTCCATGGTGTGAGGGATGGTTCTAACCTACATCTTATAAAATAAGCAATGGAACACACTGCCCCTAATGTACCATTACCAGGGGTGATGGCAGCCAAAGAATAAATAGAGGTACAGAATCACAAATTTTTAGTTACTAAAATAAATGTCTTAAGATTTCATTCAGATTTTTAACCCCAGAGGGTTAGCCACCCAGGATAACCCAAGAAAGTCAGTGTGTGGAAATTTATTTGGTCCCTAAAGTTCCACAGGACAGACACGGCGAACCAAGGGATCCCAGCAAGTCCGTAATGGAATGGCTGAGCTGGGTGGCCCTTAAACTCACCCAAACAAAAAGCGTTCTCCCCAAACATAAACACATTTCTCTCCCCCGGGTGGCGTGGATGGTAGGCACTTATTTATTTATAGATTTACCCTTCAGGGAGGGAGTAGGTAGTTTTACTGTTAGTATATTAATATTAGGTTTACTAAGGCAACTGTAGATAATGTAGACCTAGTTAGTTTAATATGTTTATTATGCACCCCATACCCATCCTGTGGGCGGTAGTCAAAAGATTACAGAGGTACATAATTGGTCCAGGGACTGGACTCCAAAGTTTTGATAGCTGAGCAAGTTACAGAGGTAATGAACTCACAATTTACAAAGGTAATGAACTCACAATTTACAAAGGTAATGAACTCACAATTTACAAAGGTAATGAACTCCAGGTAAGTCTGGTCACAATCATGACAAGTTACAAAGGTATTTACAGATTACAGAGGTACGTAATGGGTCCAGGGACTGGGCCCCCAAAGTTTTGATAGCTGAACTAGGTACAAAGGTAATGAGCTCACAAGTTACAAAGGTAATGAATTCTGTAGAATGGTTACTTACGTTTATACTTTGGCTACAATCATGAACAAATTATAGAGTAATGAGCAATTCACACTTCCACACCCGGTCACAACTGTAATGAGTTATTGGTGCAAATATTGATTGTTGAGTCACACACACACACACACACACACACACACACACACACACACACACACACACACACACACACACACACACACACACACACACACACACACACACACACACACACACACACACACACACACACACACACACACACACACTCACTCACACTCTCACACTTTAGTTTAATATCTTTATGCACCCCATACCCATCCTGTGGGCGGTAGTCAAAAGATTACAAAGGTACATAGACCTAAGACCTAAGACCTTAGACCTAAGACCTTAACATAGGTAGTAATAGGCCGATAATGTAGGCAAACACTAGGATAAGTTAGCTAGGGAGAACTGGCAGCCCTAGTTTGAACGAAGAGACGAGGGTCTGGAAGAGAGACCAGCTCGTTCTTCTTAAGACGGACACCAACTGGACAAGACGTGCCGTGATCAGCAGACGGCGCCCCCCACGTGTCTTCACATTTGAGACCTAGGGAAATCTGGTAGAGGCATCTCGATGTACCGTAGATGACCTCCATCAGGCCCATACAGTAAGACAAGACCTCCACTTTATCTCGTAGATTTCTGGCCAGTGTCTACCTGGAGTTTACCTGGAGAGAGTTCCGGGGGTCAACGCCCCCGCGGCCCGGTCTGTGACCAGGCCTCCTGGTGGATCAGAGCCTGATCAACCAGGCTGTTGCTGCTGGCTGCACACAAACCAACGTATGAGCCACAGCCCGGCTGATCAGGAACCGACTTTAGGTGCTTGTCCAGTGCCAGCTTGAAGACTGCCAGGGGTCTGTTGATAAGATTAAGATAAGATAAGATTTCGTTCGGATTTTTAACCCCGGAGGGTTAGCCACCCAGGATAACCCAAGAAAGTCAGTGCATCATCGAGGACTGTCTAACTTATTTCCATTGGGGTCCTTAATCTTGTCCCCCAGGATGCGACCCACACCAGTCGACTAACACCCAGGTACCTATTTGCTGCTAGGTGAACAGGACAACAGGTGTAAGGAAACGTGTCGGAATGTTTCCACCTGCCGGGAATCGAACCCGGGCCCTCCGTGTGTGAAGCGGGAGCTTTAGCCACCAGGCCACCGGTATGTATGCTGGGAGGCAGTTGAACAGTCTCGGGCCCCTGACACTTATTGTATGGTCTCTTAACGTGCTAGTGACACCCCTGCTTTTCATTGGGGGGATGTTGCATCGTCTGCCAAGTCTTTTGCTTTCGTAGTGAGTGATTTTCGTGTGCAAGTTCGGTACTAGTCCCTCTAGAATTTTCCAGGTGTATATAATCATGTATCTCTCCCGCCTGCGTTCCAGGGAATACAGGTTCAGGAACCTCAAGCGCTCCCAGTAATTGAGGTGTTTTATCTCCGTTATGCGCGCCGTGAAAGTTCTCTGTACATTTTCTAGGTCGGCAATTTCACCTGCCTTGAAAGGTGCTGTTAGTGTGCAGCAATATTCCAGCCTAGATAGAACAAGTGACCTGAAGAGTGTCATCATGGGCTTGGCCTCCCTGGGGAGAATTGTGAGTGAGTTTGATCTGTGGGCCCGGTGTGCAGCAGGCAGTGCATGCCCAGTAAGTACCAGTGTCTCTTGGCAGTCTGGAAGCTAGTGTACGTGTCTGCATAGTTGTACTAGGGGATACATACCCTCTTGGATATAGGAATTTCTGAGGTGCAGGCAGGTCACTAATAACGATTGAATATTACAGGAATTAAGGCTCCCGGTTGCACGTGGTTTCTGAGGGGAACTCCAAAGGGGCTAAGGTTAAGCTTAAGGAAGTTGAAGATCAGGATATATGCTGCAACACCAAGTAAGTTAGTCCTTTATACGTGCATGCAGGCGAGTTTCTTGCAACATCAATCATTTGTGAAAATCTGTCCTATAAGCCACTTGTGAGGCTGAGGTACCCACCTCAGAGCTCGGTGTCAACAGAGTTTGCCAGGGTAGGTGACTCACTTGGAGGCAGTCCACACAAATTTTCACACAGTGGGTCATCGAGGACTGTAACTTATTTCCATTGGGGTCCTTAATCTTGTCCCCCAGGATGCGACCCACACCAGTCGACTAACACCCAGATACCTATTTGCTGCTAGGTGAACAGGACAACAGGTGGAAGGAAACGTGTCGAAATGTTTCCACCGCCGGGCCCTCCGTGTGTGAGGCAGGAGCTTTAGCCACCAGGTTATAACAATGAGAATATGAACACAAAAAAGTCAATATACATATGTTAAGGTTCACTGAAAACTTAATAACATTTACTGAAAACATCCTTCATAACTTAGCTTCAGATGTTCAATAACAAGTCTCAAACTCGGGTAATTATGTACATCTCGACCCCACCTTCCTGGGTAAGTAAGTAAGTTTATTCAGGTATACACAAATACAGTTACATAGAATTATCATACATAGCAGCATATGTGTAGAGAACCTAGGATAACCCAAAAAAGTCATACAGAGTGACTTATTTCCATTGGGATCCTCTCCAGCAGATGTTCTTGCCCAAATTTATAATAAATGATGCTATGAATTCCCTGCTGACGTCTTCCAGTAGGGAAGTCAAGATGTTCAGACAAAACATTCTGGAAAAAAACATGCTTGAAATTAAAAAAAAAATTAATCATGAAATTTGAAGTTAACTGGAAATACGTAAATAGCTCAGGGGAGTCACTGTATAATCTTACGGGTTTAGCACTTCCCCTTAATACTAATAATCAGGGGAGTCAGGCAGTGGACACAGGAATGAAAATTATTTCACCAATGAGGAGTGCTAAACCCATACGGGTCATACAGCACCTAAAGAATGAAGAGATAACCTTAGTTTGAGGTACATGACCATAAATTCTTCATCAAATACAAAAATGATCTGGGACATTCCATCTGAAATAAAATATAACCAGAAGCTCATCCCTATTCCTCACCCTACATTATATATACAAACTATTAAAAAAAAAAACTTGGTGAATTTCATAACCACAAATCAATTAAAAAAATATTTTGCACTCACTGCAATAACAAGAGAAAGTAAATTAAGTGTACAGGTTTATAATATATATATCCATAAAAATTATATAAATGTACATAGAGAAATATACATGCAAGTACAGTCGACCCTCAGCTAACAGCGATATTAAGTAATGGCAATTTTGTCTAGTTAGTTTAATATGTTTATTATGCACCCCATACCCATCCTGTGGGCGGTAGTCACCCCATACCCATCCTGTGGGCGGTAGTCACCCCATACCCATCCTGTGGGCGGTAGTCACCCCATACCCATCCTGTGGGCGGTAGTCACCCCATACCCATCCTGTGGGCGGTAGTCACCCCATACCATCCTGTGGGCGGTAGTCACCCCATACCCATCCTGTGGGCGGTAGTCACCCCATACCCATCTGTGGGCGGTAGTCACCCCATACCCATCCTGTGGGCGGTAGTCACCCATACCCATCCTGTGGGCGGTAGTCACCCATACCCATCCTGTGGGCGGTAGTCACCCCATACCCATCCTGTGGGCGGTAGTCACCCCATACCCATCCTGTGGGCGGTAGTCACCCCATACCCATCCTGTGGGCGGTAGTCACCCCATACCCATCCTGTGGGCGGTAGTCACCCCATACCATCCTGTGGGCGGTAGTCACCCCATACCCATCCTGTGGGCGGTAGTCACCCCATACCCATCCTGTGGGCGGTAGTCACCCCATACCCATCCTGTGGGCGGTAGTCAAAACATTACAAAGGTACATAATGGGTGCTTTTTGCAGTAAAAAAATAATGCCTTAACCAACGGCGAAAAACTTAACCTTAAACAACGTCAGTGTTTATGAGTTGTTGTGGTGGTGGGTTTCCAGGTGTGCCGCCCATATATGTTGGTTTATTCCAGTGTTTCTAGTGCTTGTAACCACTACATAAACCACCATGAACCCCATGAAAGTGGTGGTGGTAGTGATGGTGGTAGAGGGTGGTAGTGGGTGGTAGTGATGGTGGTAGAGGGTGGTAGTGGGTGGTAGTGATGGTGGTAGAGGGTGGTATGTGGTGGAGAGTGGTGGTAGTGAAGGTGGTAGTGATGGTGGTAGGGGTGGTAGTGATGGTGGTAGAGGGTGGTAGTGATGGTGGTAGAGGGGTGGTAGTGATGGTGGTAGTAGGTGGTAGTAGGGTGGTAGTGATGGTGGTAGAGGGTGGTAGTGATGGTGGTAGTGATGGTGGTAGAGGGTGGTAGTGTGGTGGTAGTGATGGTGGTAGAGGGTGGTAGTGATGGTGGTAGAGGGTGGTAGAGGGTGGTAGTGATGGTGGTAGAGGGTGGTAGTGATGGTGGTAGTGATGGTGGTAGAGGGTGGTAGTGATGGTGGTAGTGAGGTGGTAGAGGGTGGTAGTGATGGTGGTAGTGATGGTGGTAGAGGGTGGTAGTGAGGTGGTAGTGATGGTGGTAGAGGGTGGTAGATGATGGTGGTAGTGATGGTGGTAGTGATGGGTAGAGGGTGGTAGTGATGGATGGTAGTGATGGTGGTAGAGGGTGGTAGTGATGGTGGTAGTGATGGTGGTAAGGGGAGTGGTGGTGGGTGAGTGTGAGGTGGTAGTGATGGTGGTAGAGGGTGGTAGTGATGGTGGTAGTGATGGTGGTAGAGGGTGGTAATGATGGTGGTAGAGGGTGGTACTGATGGTGGTGGAGGGTGGTAGTGATGGTGGTAGAGGGTGGTAGTGATGGTGGTAGTGATGGTGGTAGAGGGTGGTAATGATGGTGGTAGCGGGTGGTACTGATGGTGGTAGAGGGTGGTAGTGATGGTGGTAGAGGGTGGTAGTGATGGTGGTAGTGATGGTGGTAGAGGGTGGTAGTGATGGTGGTAGAGGGTGGTACTGATGGTGGTAGAGGGTTGTAGTGAAGGTGGTAGTGATGGTGGTAGAGGGTGGTAGTGATGGTGGTAGAGGGTGGTAATGATGGTGGTAGAGGGTGGTACTGATGGTGGTAGAGGGTGGTACTGATGGTGGTAGAGGGTGGTACTGATGGTGGTAGAGGGTGGTTGTGAAGGTGGTAGAGGGTGGTAGTGATAAGATAAGATAAGATTTCGTTCGGATTTTTAACCCCGGAGGGTTAGCCACCCAGGATAACCCAAGAAAGTCAGTGCGTCATCGAGGACTGTCTAACTTATTTCCATTGGGGTCCTTAATCTTGTCCCCCAGGATGCGACCCACACCAGTCGACTAACACCCGGGTACCTATTTGCTGCTAGGTGAACAGGACAACAGGTGTAAGGAAACATGTTGAAATGTTTCCACCCGCCGGGAATCGAACCCGGGCCCTCCGTGTGTGAAGCGGGAGCTTTAGCCACCAGGCCACCGGGCCTGGTGGTAGTGATGGTGGTAGAGGGTGGTAGTGAAGGTGGTAGAGGGTGGTAGTGAAGGTGGTAGAGGGTGGTAGTGATGGTGGTAGAAGGTGGTAGTGATGGTGGTAGAGGGTGGTCCAGTGATTCTTAAGCTGGTCCTAGTGGCATTAAAAAACCAAGAAGGGAGGTAACCCCACCAAAGGACTTGGTACCTAAAGCCTTTATGGAAGGGGATTCTCCTTCCAAGCAACAGACAATCCTGAATTTTCCCTGCTGCTGGCACATCACTCATCAACAACTCCACAATAAAGGTAAGTGGTATTTAATTATTGTTTATTTTGCATGTCCCATTCCTTTCTATATAAGGAAATGCATATTTCATGAAAAAAAAAAATCAGACTTTGGGATGTCATGAACGGATTAATTCTACTTCCATTATTTCTTATGGGGAAAATTAACTCGACCAATGGCAAGCCCTCTGGTATGGATTAATGCCGTTGGTTAAGGGTCCACTGTACACACACACATGCATGTATACACCTATACTCATGCATATATTTATAATGCAATATATACATACATGTATACATAATAAGTATATACACATATATATCCACATACAGTTTCCAGCTAGTTCATATCAATTTCCCATCACATTTTCAGAAAACCTGACCCAGGGCGCCAGCCATGAGTCTAGCAATTACACTGCATTTATGAAGTGCTAAAAACATTGGGGTCACATTGCACCTGAAGAAAAGAGCATTCAGGTTTGATCAGAGGAAATAAGTATTTAAAATGCCTTCAAGAACCATTCATTATCAAGCCCCCCCCCTTGATGGCTGTTTAAACTAAAATATCTGATTTACATTGTGGGAAAATAGGTAACAAATAAATCTTCAGCATAATTTCAATGTTTTAACAAATGAGTTCCATCTGTAACACTATTAGAATTACTGGGATACGTTAAACCCAAAAGGAATCCGGTTCGAGCCAAGGCTTAACTAAAATTCCTTGGATCAGAATACCTCCCCTATCCATAATGGGGCATGACACCGGTGAAAAAACTAGTAATGGGAGAAGCAGTAAACCCGAAAAGTTGTACAGCAGCACCTGGGGAATGGGAGGCAATCATGTTTAACCCTTTCAGGATCCAGAAGCCAAATCTCAGAGTGTGCACCAGGGTCAAAATTTTGGGGAAATAAAAAAAAAAAAAAAAAAAAAAAAGGCCCAGGCAGACTGTGTAGGTAGATGTAGGTATGTAGCCCAGCAGACTATGTGGGTATGTAGCCCAGGTGGACTATGTAGGTATGTAGCCCTGGCAGACTATGTAGGTAGATGTAGGTATGTAGCCCAGGCAGACTATGTAGGTAGATGTAGGTATGTAGCCCAGGTGGACTATGTAGGTAGATGTAGGTATGTAGCCCAGGCAGACAATGTGGGTATGTAGCCCAGGCAGACTATATAGGTAGATGTAGGTATGTAGCCCTGGCAGACT